TTCTCCTTCATCCTTCTAGCCAGCCCCATGCTTGGGGTCCTTATCCCTTCATGCAGTAATACATGCCTCACGGAGCTGGGCTATGTTCAGAACGGGTCAGTTCTGCAAGCTTCACACAGCCACGTGCACAGAACTCATAGTAAGAGTGTGATGATAAGAATTACTATCATATCATAAGCACTTTAAAGTTTTTTTTAATGTTTGCTTATTTTTGAGAGAGAGACACACACAGTGCGAGTGGGGGAGGCACAGAGAGAGGGAGACACAGAATCCGAAGCAGGCTCCAGGCTCCGAGCTGTCAGCACAGAGCCCGACGCGGGGCTCGAACCCACGGACCATGAGATCATGACCTGAGCCGAAATCCAGCGCTTAAGTGACTGAGCCACCCAGGCGCCCCAACCTCTTTTCATGTCCATAAATCTCCATCTACACCATTATTAAAAAAAAAAAAACTATATAGTCTTCCAGTGTATTTACAAACATAAACCCTTGTTGATGGACATTCAACTTCACATTCTTTTTGCTCTTTCAAAGAAAGCTGCAATAAACACCACTGTAGCTAAGCCGCCATGCACGTTCTTACTTCTATTCATCCTAGTTTTAAAGCCAAGAATATACGCATGTCATAAATTATATGTTTATCTATTCATTTATGTAGACCAATGTCCTATAGCTGGATATTTAGGTTATATGCAAATTTTCAGCTCCTTTGGATAATGTTGATACGAATGTCTGCATATCACATCTTCATTCATACCTTATCTGATTATTACCTTGGGATAAATTCTTAAGAAGGGGAATGAATGGGGCCAGAGGAAATTTATATATCTAAGGCTTTGCAAACGCTCAGCGAAATTGCCCCCGGAAAGCTTTCCAAGGGCTCATTCACCCACCATCTTACTCAGTGGCTTGTAAACATTAAATTTGTTAGGAGGGGCTCCTAACCTACCTTTTCCTTCTCAGTAATGCATTGCTGCAACGGAGACCCAGCTAGATGTGCATGGAGACTTGGCTCTGCCCTCCTTTAGCCTGCATGACCCTGGGCAAATTGTTCACTTCTCTGAGCCTCACCCTCCCCCACCCCCGCCTCCCCACTGCGCCCACCATCTCACCAACCTCCAGGTTCACTGGGACAATCATGTGGGAGGCGGGTCTTTGAAAGAGCTTTGGGGACTGAACCAACAGACCAGACGTATTTCTAATACAAAGGGAATTTCTCATGCAGCGTTCTCATTATTTTGTTTTTGCACAGAAACTTTAAGTTTGCCGGGAGACTCCTTATTAGGTTTTCTTAACTCTCCCCTGCTGTGGTTACCAAGACGCAGATGGAATATAATTTCTGGCAGAGAAAACAGGCCCAGAGAGACTCGTGGTTTTCTCTAGACCACATCAGCCTCAGGACTGCTACCAAACTTGCTGTCAGCCTGCTCTCTGAGCCGTATTTCCTTTTTCTAGATTAGCAGCATAAAAATGGCTATTAGCCCCAGAAGATGCACTTGTATTCATAGTGAATCTGATGCTGCCAGCAATTTAAAATGGAAAGGCAATTTACCATTTAGCGCTTTGTAGCCAAATAAAATGCAGTGACCCCTTCTTTCTCTTTCCAGGAGATTTGGAATTGTTTCTGAGGGTTGGAAGGGAGGAGAGAGAGATTATAAGACTGCAGGTTCCTTGAGCATTGAGACTACTACTTCTTTCTGTATTTACTACGGCATCTTAGCACAGCCCTGGGCCTCCATCAGAGGCGTCTACTGTGCCAAGGAATAAACATTAGTCTCAAGCCTGAAACCTACAGCCTAAATGGCTTTGCCACCATGTGACAAAGTTGCCTGCTTATGTATCAAACCTGCCCTTGGCACTGTGCAGCTTTGAGCAAGTTTGTTAGCCTCTCTGAAACTTTGTTTCCTTTTCTAGACACTGGAAAGAATTTCTACCCAATATGGGAACAGAAGGAAAAGGTCTAGAGAAAGACTTGATCACCTGGTAGAGGTTCAAATAAGACTGCTAAAATGATTGGTCAGATGAGACAGCAGCACTTCCTTGCGTAAGTATGTAATTGTACCCAGGATGTACGCTCCCCAAAACTTTGACAAAGGGGAGTGTGATTGCCCTCTCGGAGTATCCTTTCAAGGCATATTAATAATGCAGGATCAGTAATACATGGCATATAGGCCTATATCCTCCTGCCCTTGCCCACAGCAGACATTACTAATCAAACACATCGATCTTTGCTGAAATCCTTCTCAATAAGGAGTTCCAGCCAGTTACGAGCAACAGAACAGGGTTGACTAATGTGATGAAGCCTAGTCAATCCCAGATTTAATTGATCAGAGCACTGGACCAATGCCAGGAATGCCAGAGACTCCTCAAGCCAGAAGCCATCAAAGTTCAAGCTTACGAAAGACTGGGGTTTGCTGCCAGCTCTTAGGGGTTACATGCCCTGCCCTCCCACCCCTCCTGCAGAGACTGTGTCCAGTCCAAAGACAAAGTCGCTTTTCTACCAGATGTTTAACCTTGGACGAGTTACGTGACCTCTTTGTCCCTTCATTTGCTCAACTGTAAAATGGGACAATTAACACTATCTACCTCGTTGATTTGATAAGAGCATTAAATGAGATGATGCATTTAAAGCCCTGACATCTGGTATGTGCTCAGTAAGCTTTACTTATTATTAGCTATTATTATTAAGCACTTACCAAGTGCTAGGCATCATTGAGCATTATCTTAATTGCATCTTGAAAACAATCATATAAAGCAGGTTTCATGTTGTTACATTTTTTTAAAAACTAATTGTTGATTGATTTGCCCAAGCATATGGTGTTTGTTGATACAAAACATTTAATGAGGAGTGTGTTCAGTTCCATGCCCACACGTTCCTGGGAGTCCTCGCCAATGCTGCAGGAATGCTGTGCAGGAGATATGACTACCTGAACTCAACGCAGCTTCAACCAAATGATGCACCCATTATGTGGTGGAGGTCACGATTTGAACCCAGGGTGTGTTGCTTCTTCTGTGGTGCCATGAGACCCCCTCTGCTTCTCTACCACCCCCTCTTCGTATCTACTTTGATAGAAAACAAAGACACAAATGAAAATAAAACAAACAATAACATCAGAGACCTAACATTTGTGCTCTGATTGTGTACCAGGTAATCTCCGATGTGTTTATCCTCTCTGCTTTATGTAACTGTCAGAAGAGCAACCCCTGAAAATAGCATTCCTGACATTAAAAAAAGAAGAAAGAAAAAGAAAAGAAGGAATGAATGAAGGAAAGAAAGAAAGAAAGAAAGAAAGAAAGAAAGAAAGACGAAGGAAGGAAGGAAGGAAAGAAAGAAAGAGAAGGAGGGAGGGAGGGAGGGAGGAAGAAAAGAAAGAAAGAAAGAAAGAAAGAAAGACAGACAGACAAAGGAAGGAAGGAAGAAGGAAGGAAGGAAGGAAGGAAGGAAGGAAGGAAGGAAGGAAGGAAGGAAGGAAACATTAGGGGTGTCTGGGTGGCTCAGTCAGTTGGGCATCCAGCTTATGCTCAGGTCATGATCTTAGGGTTCGTGAGTTCGAGCCCTGCATTGGGCTCGCCGCCGTCAGCTCAGAGCCTGCTTGGGAACTTCTGTCTCCCTCTCTCTCTGCCCCTCCCCCGCTCATGCTTTCTCTCTTAAAAATGAATAAACATTCAAAACAAAGAAGAAAGGAGCCTTCCTGCCTAAGGTCCCTCCACCACTTACTAGATATGAGACCTTGGGTCAGTTATGGATCCTTCAGCCTCTTTATCTTTTATTTATTTATTTATTTATTTTCAACGTTTATTTATTTTTGGGACAGAGAGAGACAGAGCATGAACGGGGGAGGGGCAGAGAGAGAGGGAGACACAGAATCGGAAACAGGCTCCAGGCTCTGAGCCATCAGCCCAGAGCCCGACGCGGGGCTCGAACTCACGGATCACGAGATCGTGACCTGGCTGAAGTCAGACGCCCAACCGACTGCACCACCCAGGCGCCCCTCTCTTTATCTTTTAGAGATGGGAGTAATTACCTCTACCCCACAGCACTGTCATTCATTCATTCGTTTGCTCAACATTATTGAACATCTAATATCAAGAATCATGTTACATGCTTGATATATACTCAGGAGAACAAACTGGGCATCGTCTCTGACCTCAGGGAGCTTCCTGTCCTGGATTAAATGAAATTATTTGTGTAAAACTTTTAGCACAGAGCCTGGCAAATAAAACTTGCTCAATTAAAGTTAACATCATCGTTACTATTACTACCATGGCTCAGTCAGGATGTAAACACACATATCTTTGCCTCTGAAATCCTTTTTAATAAAACAGGGTTTTGTAGGGGCCCAACAGGAGACGAGGCTAGAAGGGGACTTAGGGATGTCCAGAAGAGACTTCAGACGTCAGGTTTTTAATATGTACAAGAGCAACCTGCAATCCTTGTGCCTCCCAAGCATTTTTTAGGTATTTTCACTCTCTTTCTCATGATCCATCCAAGCCAGATGTATTTTTAAATCTCCATAAACATACCCCTCTCTGTGGCAATAAATGTATTTTCCCTTGAATGTGGACCCCGTGTGTTTGATTTGCCTGGAAAGGTGTGGAAACCACCCAGACACGGTGCTAATGGGATGTGACAGAACTCGCAGCTTCCCCGGGCCTGGAAGGAAGAATGTTGACGAAGGGGAAGCTTAATGAGCTTCCACCCACATTTCAATTATCCTAACAAGCTGCCAAAGGAAGACCTGTTTGCAGTACCGTGTTCTGGAAAGTTTTGACAAGCCCAGGAGGAATCTATCCGGGCCGGAGCTGCGTATGTCTAGGGAAAGAAAACACTCTTCCTCTGGGAGAGAGGATGACAAGGCCAGCTGGCAGTCAGCTTTGTCACCTAGTACTCGAGGGGATCCTTCTCCAACACGACACCCTCATTAGCTAACCCAGTACAATTGTATCAGCTATAATGCCACCACCGTAATGCCACATAACAAACAGCCACGAAACCTCAGTGGCATATCATGACAATTTTTAATCCCATGTCAGTGGGTCAGCTGGGCACTTCCAGTCATCTGAGCTGAGTATGGCTGAGTTCATACATGTCCCCGTGGTCAGGTAGGTGGCATTTTGCTGTTCTTGGTTGGGCTGCCTCGCTTGCCTGGGGCAACTGGGCTGACTCAGTATTTCTCCACACGACCTCTCATCCTACCCACGGGTTTGTGCATGGAGCAGCAGGAGGGTCCTAAGAGAGCGGCCAACATTATTGTGCAGGGTCTCTTGAGCCCAGGCATGGGAAAGGCATGGCGTCACTTCTGCTGTGTTCTATTGGTCAAAGCAAAAACAAGCTTAGCTGATAGAAGGGATGACAAAGTCACGTGGCAGAGAGTAGCTACAGGAAGAACACTGATTGGGTCCATCAGAGCAGTCCCACAACAAAATATAAATAACAAGCACCATTACTGAATAGCAACTCGAGGTCTGTTTTATGTGTAGGAAAGGATGTTAAACTGGGACGCTTTGGGTCTTGAATTCAGCCAAAGCCCAAGAGTAAGATGAGATGTTCAAACACCTGACATCTCAGAGCAAGATATTGGCCTTGCAAAGATTCCCCAGGTGAAACTCGTTTTGTAACCCTTGGTCCAACACCCACCTCCAGGATATGAAAAGGTTGAGTTGAAAACCAGGGAGAGGATTCTTGGGAGAAGTCCAGTGTGAGGTGATTCTCTGCCCCACTTGACAAGGGGAGAGGCAGTTACCCTTGTCTTGTGAGGGGAACTTTCAGTAGGTAGCTTGAGTCTGCTATGTGTTTCCTGGAGTCTGGAGGGACCAGCCTGACTCAGACCTGAAGAATGTACAGATTAGCAGACTGTGGCTAGAGCCTAGCAGGATTACAGGATGAGGGGAAGGGGTAGCAGTGGAAGCAGGTGCCAAAGATGTATGTGTTTCCCATGAGTCGAGTAGATAAAGGCATCTGCTGAGATGAAGGCATGTTAAAAGGAGCTCCCTCTGCCCAAAAGACGCAGAGGGAGGCACTGATGTCTACCACTTGGCATGGGAGCTGGGAAGGACAGGGGGAAACTGAAGAATCCCCACCATGTCAGGGTACTGTGCCACGTGGAAGGCAGTAGAGGGGGAGCCAAAGAATCCACAATGCACCTCAAAGAAGAGACTTTTGAACACCTGCTGAACACAGAGAACTTTAAATACCTGCCAAGCAGTTTGTGCCAACACCAAATCGTGACAGTACTAGCCACAGAAGTTCTTTCCTGCCCTCGTCAATTGCCCCTCTGCTCCCTCAGGCCATTGGACAGCAAGCAGGAAGGAGGAAGAGACATAGGGAAGCCAACCTCCTTCCCCAATGCCTGAGCTGAGTAAGAGGAGACACAGAGCCGCTACCAACCCCCACAAATACTATGCCTTTGAACTAGCAAAAAGATGCCACCTGAAAGAAGCTTTACCTCCATCTGTCTGAAATTTGCTCTAATATACTCTAACAGTTACCTGTTAGTGTATAACAAATTTTCTCAAAACTTTGTGGTTTAAAAGAACATTTATGATTGCCTGGTCTCTATGGGTCAGGAGTCTAGGCACATGAGCTGAGTCCTCTGGCTTAGGATCTCTTACCAGGTTGCAGTCAAGGTATCAGTTGGGCTGTGATCTCATCTGAAGACTAGACTATAGAAGGATCCACTTTCAAGCTCACTCACATGGTTGTTGGAGGCTGTTGGCCAGAGGCCACACTCTTCATTCCTTGGGCCTCTCCATGGAATAACTCAACATGGAAACTTGTATCATCAGAATAAGCAAGAAAAAAAAAAAAAAAAAAAGCAAAGAGGAGGGTGTCAGCCAAATGGAAGTCAGTCTTTTATAATCTAATCTCAGAAGTGACATCCCATGACTTTGAATGTATTGTATTAGTTAGAAGCAAGTCACTAGGTCCAACCCCAAGGGTAGGAGATCACATAGGGTATAAATATCAGGAGGGAGATAATTAGGGGTCATCATAGAAGTCTGCTTCCACACACACTGAATTCATTACAGCTACACACCACACCATTGGCCAAAAGTCTGTTATAATAAACACACAGATCTCTAGTGTCTACAATATGAACACTACCCATGTCCTATGTGCTATGCAACCTACCAACCATATGTGGTTGCTGAGTGGAGATGCTTTAACATTTTAAAAACATTTTATCATGGAAGTTTTCGACCATTTCCAAAAGTAAAAGAAATAATAACATAAAATAATAACATAAAAGTGGCCATTCTTGTTTCACTTATGCCCCAATCCGTTCCCCCAAAGCCCCCAGTTGTTGAAAAGCAAACCTCAGACATCACACTATTTCATCTTTAGGAATTCAGCACGAATTTCCACGTACCCAATTTACCATGACACCATTAACAAGAATCCCCCAATTTCACCTACTAATTCAGTCAGTGTGCTAATTTGTTCCAACTTCAGAAGGGTCTCTTTTACAGTTGGTCGGTTTGGGGGAAAGCTTCGACCCAGATTTTAAAGCATTACTTAAGAATGGGCATTTTAATTACTGAGCCGGAACTATCCTGAGGGTGAGAATGACTGCCAGGCATCAGTGTGGAAAAAAGGAAGCCTTCTTTTTTTGCAACTCTATCACATCCCACTTGTTCATCAGGATGGTGACACATAGGTTATCTGAAATCCTCAGTGTAGTCCATCGAGGTGGGTGTCAGAATCCTCATTTTTACACAGGAGAAAATGTAGATGCAGGAGAAGGAACTTGCCTCAGGTCACACCGCGATTACTTGATGCAGCCGATGCCCCAACTGAAGTCTTTCTGACCTCCCCAGGGGACTCTGGGAGCTGGCTATAATACTGTCATAGCTTCTAGGACAGGAAGATATCGCGAATGCCTTTTTACGGGACCATACTCTCCCTCGTGAAGCCCTTTTTACCTGATGTCGGCAAGAACCGAACCATATGGGCTCTTAGCCTTTGTTTCCTAATATTCAGCACAGAATTGGGTACATTGCAGGTGCCTATATATAAATGTAGCCCATGTAAAGCCTGGCTGTCCTGCTTCAGCCCTGAAGCCACCATAGCATAGAACCCCATGCAAAGAAAACCCCATTCTGACAGCCAGACAGCCAGTCTGAGGAGCAAAGTCATTCCACTGGCCCAGCCTCATCAGCTTTAGCTCCTTGACAATGGGGGCAGCTCGTGAAGGGAGCTGCAGCTCATGGGGGAGTGAGACAGATTCATGTCCCCACTGTAGACATTCACCTGAGAAAATGTGATTTTCTTTGCTTTCCCAACTAGGTGTTGGGAAGAATCTGATGGAGAAGCATTATTTCTTTTGATGGGGCGGCTATGGTCAAGTGAATGGTATTCTTCCATTCTGGAAAGTCTGCGCAGAAGCAGGTCACCTGGCTCTGGAACCATCCATACACCCCACCCTCTTCTCTGCCTGACAAACTCCTAATCCTTCAGGGCTGGACACAAATCTCATGTGCTCGAGGAAACCTTCTCTGTCTTTCCAAATAGAGTGTCACCCCCCTCTGGTGTACCTATCCCATGTTTGTCTGTCTGTCTTCCCCTCCAAACTGTAAGCCTGATAAAGCAAAGCCTGCATCTGTCATACGTGGAACATAGTAGACAATAAGTATTTGTTGACGGATTGTTTCTTTTTATTAAAAAAAAAAAACCCCACAACTTGAAAACTGCATTTACTGAATTACTGAAACTCGTATTAAAAAATACCACGGAGCCCAGAGGCATTCTCTCCAGAAAACAAAGCAAAACTTGAAATTTACTTTCTTCTCCCCACTGCTGTTCCCACCAAAGTCCTCTCCTCTATTTGGTCAACTTTTTAAACTCTCCAAACCTAACCAAGCCAGGGGCTGGTGTGATTCACCATCTTTCTCTTTTGATGTAGCCTTTTCTCCTATAACTAACTTGGCCCTTCTGTCTCTTTTGAGTTCTTGCATTCACCCATTACCTAGATCCCAGAGAGCAAAGAAGGCCTCGAGAGTGAAAATCAGCCTACCTCTTTAGAAGGTGAGACGCGATTATCAACTCCTGAAGACACGAAGTTTTGGCCATTTTGTTACCTGCTATGCTCTCAGCGCTTGGCGTAGTGCCGATCACATAGCTGGTGCTCGATCAAGATCGTCACACATTTTTGTAGTTGCTAAGAGGATGGATGAATAAATAACAAGAGGTGTTTCGAGAGAGACAGGAAGCAAGGGAAAGATGAACAAAAACACCAATTTTTTTTTCCCTCTGTTTGGAGGTCTAAGATGGGATGTTTGCCTGAAGAACCAAGTAGCCATAGCTGGTAGGACACAGCCCCTGGTCATTCTCAGACTTGAAGGGCCGTCTGCTGCTGAATCAGCAGGAAACAGCACTGGAGACGTGGGCTAGGTGCAGCTTGGCAGCGTGGTAGCAATTTAGCTGACAATTTCCTTCTATGTTTCAGCATAATTGAATTAGCATCCATGGAGACTGTCTCCCAGACATCGGCAAATGCAATACCGTGGAGCAGGCGCTGCAATTCATCTGGCATTATGAGGCATTGAATTGCCATCCAATCCCGCACCTCTCCTCGTTGCTTTGTGTGTGCTCGTTAGAGGAAATTAGGTGGATGCGATGAGCCTGGAAACAATTAAAATCTTCCCACTTAGGCGATTCCCAGCAGCGGTACCCAACTTCTCTTGATAAGCACTCAGGTTTGCTCAGCTAGCGTGCACGCACGACTTTCTGGATGTGCTTTCTAATTCTGAGCAATGGATGACAATTCATTTTGCTTCAGATAGGGCTATGGACCGTTAGGACACAGAGGAAAGACAACTTACTGGGACAGCCATGATATGAACCAACCAGAACAGCATCTGTAATGGACAGGGCCATGGCCGGGAGTCTTGGGGCTCAGTCCAACCGGGAAGAGTATTGCTCAATATGAGTCTATGCAGTGGGACTTGATGGTGGACCACAGACAAGGGCCATGAAGACAGTACCCAACACAGCAAGTTAAGGTGAAAAGTTGGGAAGATTAGGAGCAGGATGAGTGGGGACTGAAGAGTTGAAGAGTGGCACTCGGACCAATGGTTCAGAAGCAAGGTTGTGAACATTAAGAGTGTGCTAGACTGAACGTACTTTGAGGCTAGGGGTGGCCACTTAAAGGACTGTGGTTTACCGGGTAGAGGGAATGGCTGTCAGCTGCTAGGGAGCAGAATGGTATGGCAGAAAGAGCAGCTTTTGGAGAAATATGGATTTGAGACTGAATACCGGTCCTGCCATGTTTGACGGTTAAACCACTTCACTCCTAGGGTCTTCTGCCTCCTCAATAGAGAAAAGAAGACATCTATCTTGCAAGGCTTGGAGAGGCTCAGGGTCGTGCTAAGTGATACTGGAGGTATCATATGCATAACAGGACTTTTGTCTTGGCTTGGGTTCCACCAGAAAGGGACTTTGAGATAAGGATTATAAGGACTGGAGTGCAAGCAGTTTCTTTGGGAGATGATGGAGGGGAAGTGGGAGGAGGAAGCGGGGAGAGAAAGAAGCCAAGGAAGTATTCGTGGTGATCAAGCCAGAGAGCACTGTGAGCACCAGAACTCATCCCATGGGGAACTCCGGGATCCATGCAGAACACAGGTCTCAGAATTAGCTTAGTGAGGGATCTGGAAATTTTTAAAACCGACTCCCATCAGTCATTTGCTGAGGGCTGTTCGTTGCCTAGAGCTTCAGGTCTGCCTTGGCAGTGGGCAGACTTGCCTTCCTCATCTTCAGAGAAAGTCCCCAGGCACATGGATGCTGATACAGGTGGAGGGAAGCTGGGCTTTCCGCTCTGACGTGGTAAGTCCTGATGGGGTTCTGACAACTTCTGCCGGTGGGTGATGCATTGTCCCAATTTGGACCGGGTCCCCTAAGCAAGCCAAGAATGGAACAGCAGGTGCCAGTGTTCCCATGTTCCAAAGAGAGGTGCTAGACCTCCAACAGGGGTGGCAAACTATTTCATGACCCTTAGCCTCTCACCAAGTTCCGGGAGAGTAGGGAATTGGAAGGCGGCTTTCATTAGACAGCATGGATGGAATGACACTGATCTCTCCCCAGCCCCATAGGGCAAGAAGGGCTGTGTTTCCCTCACCGGAAGCCCAGAGAGACGAGCTTAGGAGGGACACACGAGAGCATGATTTGTGTCCTCTGAAGACTGGAAGCCCTACAGGCTGGAGTCTGACTTGTGCCTGAGGGATCTAAGGGACACAGGCAGGCTGAAGAGGCAGCACTTCTCCCACCAAAGCGTTTTCCTTGGGGAAGGAGAGAGAGAGAAAGTGCTGACCTGGGGATATTTGAAAGATGCTTTGCCTAACAAGGCCCTCCGGAGGAATGATGGGCACTCAGGCCATAGAGATGGACCGTGAATAACCAAAGCCAGAGGGAATGTCATTACTAGACAGAGCATTTTTCTTTTTTTTAATTTTTAAAAATGTTTTATTATTTATTTTTGAGAGAGAGACAGAGTGTGAGTGGGGGAGGGGCAGAGAGAGAGGGAGACACAGAATCTGAAGCAGGCTCCAGGCTCCGAGCTGTCAGCACAGAGCCCAACACGGGCCTCCAACCCACGAACCGCAAGATCATGACCTGAGCCGAAGTCAGACGCTTAACCGACTGAGCCACCCAGGTGCCCCTCACTGTACAGGTTATTTAGAGAAAGTATCCATCAGGTGTTGTATATCGAGAGCATCTGAAATGTATTAATAAATAGCAGGTCTTGTCATTATGAGCTGGGTGCCTGGGTGAAA